CTAGACCATACATCGACGGCTATTATCGAACCTACACAATATCGACGGTTATCGCCAAGTCATCGGGCTGTAACGTTGTAACCCGCGCGCATAACCGTGTAACCATAACTTCTAGTTACCGTCGAATTATCGTCGACGTCGTGATCCTAAAACCCTAGAATCACCCAGAGATCCGGTCCCTAAATGCCCGTATCTCAACAAGCTGAACTGAGTCAGTCAAAGGTAACGCTGTAACCCGCACACATTGAACCGCCAACCGCTAACTACCGATTTTATAGTCAAACTCCCATCGATGTCACCTAAGAGATCGCGCACACTAAATGCCGAGTATGGAGTTTTACAAAAGCAACTTGCCCGCGGATAAAAACATTGACTTGATGGCTGGCCAACTTGGGAAGTGAACCCCAAAGGTTAAGTTTTCTGGTTTTTTTAGAAGCTTTGTGCGTCCACTAGCATCACCATAAAGTTTTGATTTCAACCGGACTCGAATTGATTATCAACGGATGCTACAGGATTGGCTTTCGGATCAGGTTGAAGTTCCTGCTACACAACATACAACAAGCTTGATCTTCGTTGCTTTGGCTTGGCCTCTGACCAGCTGTCCAATGTCGGCTACACTGTTGGGACCAACACGAAAAGAAAAGTCGGTGATCCTAGCATAAGCCGGGTTGCCAGCGTGCAGTGTGCTCGTGTCAGTGTTTGCGAGTTGTGGCCGACGTAGCAGCCGCTCGAAGGATGGAGTACGACGCGAGCTTGAACACTGTTTGAATGTGCCGTGTTGGATTTAGGTAGTACTACTACTGTGTGAGTACGCCCTAAGATCCTAGATGATTCCGTAGCCGTTTCATTGAGTTTGATAGAGTGGTAATTACCCCCTGGCAATTACTCCCTGGCAATTACCCCACTGGCAATTACCCCCTGGCATTTACCCCCATTGGCAGTTACCCCCACTGGCAGTTACCCCCACTGGCAGTTACCCCCACTAGTGGTAGGTACCCCCTAGGCCAGTGTGGACCGTTAGATAAGCATCTTTGTGGAATCTTGGAGGCTAGGCCGTTGATGTTTGAGTTGACTCACATAGAGCTAGAGTTGGACTCGACCAAGTAGACCTAGCCACGGATTTATGACTTGGACGATTGACTTGTATTGGTTACTTATTCCTAGTAGTTGTGCTTGACTTGAAACGCGCTCTAAGGCGCTTGCTTTCAACAGGTTATGGGCCCACAACGCTAGGGAGTGAGGTGAGAGTAGTAAGCCATTGCTAGCAACAACAATTCTAGGTTGGTGAAAGGTATTCCAGTGGGGGCTAAAGGAGTGGAGTAATACTCTATCTCGCGACGCCTGTGAAAATACCCACAAACCTTTCTCGGCACAGAAGAGTGCCCAGCCCAAGAAGCGTTGTTTGGCTAGCGCGCCTGCTCGGTAAAGATGGCTGAAGGACTCAGGTCAATATAGAGCCTCTAGATGTTGACAACTATACGGTGTGGTCACAGAGGATGCAACTCCTCTTGACACACAAGAAGTTGTGGAAAGGAATAACGGACCCGGCCGGTGATGCGGAGAGGACCGAGAAAGCAAGAGCTTTGATAGGCTTGCACACCGGCAACAGCACCTTGGGGCAATCTTAGCTGCTGAGAATGCCAAGGAAGCTTGGGACGCGCTGGAAAAGACCTACAAGGGCAAAAGTGCGGCTCGGAAGTTGTCCCTCCGGCATGAGTTGAGCACCCTCAAGATGAGGTCCGGTGAGCCCGTTGCCGGGTATGTGGGTAGGGCACAAGACCTTTATCGGGACTTGGTTGCCGCCGGTGTTGAGATGAAACCGGATGATCTATCCTTTACCGTGCTTGCCGGGTTGACTAGCCGGTTGGAGGGGCTGGTAACGGTGTTGACGTCGTCCAAGGAGGAGCTAGGCTCGGTGGAGGAGATTCTTTCCACGTTGCAGGTGTTTGAGCAGAGGCATGGGCTGTCAGGGGAGCAAGACAGTGGGGCCTCGGGCTCGGCAAGGGTGGTAGCCTATGCTGCCAAGGGTGGCAACTTTGCGGGGAAGGGCAAGGGAGGCCCGAGGAAGGCTTCCATGGCTTGCCACAAGTGTGGGAAGCTCGGGCACTTTGAGAGGGAGTGCAGGTCAGGGCCCCGAGAGCCCGAGAGGCCCAAGACGGGAAAGAAGTGCTACATCT